GGTATGGGGGTTATGGAGGGGTCGTTGGCTGCGAGGGGCACGCGCGATGGGGTGTCTGCAGGTGAAGGCGGACCGTCTTTGTTTTGGTCCTTCGGGAGTGCATTCGCGCGCGTCGACCGAACGTGGAAGGGCCTTTTCGCGGCTTGGGGAACTTTATAATGACACGCCAGGACAGGCATGGCGGTAGCACGTGTCGTTGTCGTTGTTCCATTTTCTCGCCACGGGGATGCGAAGTCGTGGACGGTCCTTCTGCTACTGTCATTCCTGTGCTGCGCATCCGGAGCCGCATAAATGTCGTCCGCACGAGGGTGAGTCCACCACCGACGCCCGCCGGGCCAGCTTACACTTCCCGCCGCGCATCTGCAGTACCACAACGCTTCTCGCCGGGGATGATTGTGGCCTCCACGCTTCCTTGTCCGCAGCCTCCGAGGACCGCCGCCGTCGCCATTGCAGACATCACGTGACGTGGACGTCGGCTGTCACAACGCTGGCAGCGGGTCGCTCTCACCGTCATCGCTTCCGCTCTTCTGGCAGTCAATCTTCTCGCCGCGGGGCGCTTTCAGATTCATGGTTGTTCTTCTGCCGCAGTCGTCGCGGTCGGACGTCATTCTTCTCGCCGCGGAGCACTCCCACCATCGCGAAGGACAGGTGTCACCGGGGACGTTATCCTTCCATGGTGCGCTTGCACGTCGTCGTCTTTCTGCAGCGGAGGACTCATCTTGAGCGTCGTCGGGGTAGTAGTTCTCGCCAAGCTGGCAAGAGACGGGTGACGTATTTTTCGACGAAACAGCACACGTCAGCCGAGCGCTCCACCGAGATCGCGTGTGGAGGTCCCCAACAAGCATGTCTGCGCGATTGAACGCAGTGGCAAGAAGCGTGACGTCGCGCTTGACGAAAGCCAAGCCCAGGGGAAAGGTCGGCGGCATGTCCCAAAGGCGAAGAGGCTTCGTTTGGATGATGTGTCAGCAAGCATGCCGCGTCGTGGGGCGCGAGGTTGGGCGCAGGCCGTGGAAGAGGACAACGACGATTATTTCACGACGGAGGACGATCAAGGCGAGGCGATGGCGTCTGCAGGTCAGGAGAGTGCTAGGCAGCGTTCTTCAAATCAGAGCGCTTCGAAGAGGATGTTAACCGCTCTGCCGGAGGCGCAGCAGCTGCGTGTCCGTGAAACATGAAAAGAGCAGTGTGCTGTGGTGGACCTTGGTGGTGATGACGACGAGCCTTTGGAAAAACGTCGCCTGCACACTGCGACTCAAGCGACCGCAGCGGTAGTGTCGACGGCTCGCGCGGCACCGGACGAAAGGCCGATCACAGGTGCACTGCCCAGCACGCCGTCTCAGCCGCGTCAGCGCAACGATGGTGGTGACGGTGCGTCCCTCCAACGCGGTGGGGGGGGGGGGAGTCGTGGCAGACACGCGAGCAGCAGGGGGCGAGGCGGCTTGTGCACTTGGGGAGCACGCGAATGCACGCTGGGCTTCGGCCGTCTGCCTGGTGTTGGTCAAAACCAGCAAGGCCTTAGTCGGAGTGGTGAAATACTACATGGGGGCAGATCACCTATCGTATTGGGGACAGATGACTAAACGACATCTCGAAGCGATACAGCCTATAGGTGATACCAGCGAGATCCAGTCGAATGATTTTTTTACTGGAAGTCAGAGGACCCGTAGCACCTACCTAACTCGAAAGAGACCTGGTAACAGGAAAGCACTGGCTAGTGAGAATGCTGACATGAGTAACAAAAAATCAGGTGAAAAACATGATCGCCGAAAGTTCAAGGATCCTTAGAGACTTTACGTGGAGCTACTACTAATTAATAATATAAAAGAAAGACCAATGACTTATGAGTATACGAAATTGGAAGAACACAAAATGGTTAGTGAAGGGCGAAACTCAGTGTATAAGCAGCGCCTTGTTATCACGAATTCAAGATCAAAAGTCTTTGGACTTAATAGCATTTTGGTCCCTGGGTCATGAAAAAGTGCTGGTCAAACTTGCTAAACACTTGCACACCTATAGGCGGTCGAATTGAACCGAAGTATTCTCGAATATTCAAATCTTGATACAATAATTCACCATAATAATAAATTGAGTCAAGAGTTGGACTTTATCTTTATCTCTTGTGATTGAGAAATGAGAGATGGACTTTCTTCTTTCTCTCTCCAGATATAATTGAGTCTAGAGAGTGGGTAAGTAAACAAGATAATACACCGCCGGCCAAATCCAACCATCCCAGCTCTTATCTAGATTGAACCCTTAGCTAATGGGAATTGAAAATTGATGATGGCCCGGTGGGATTGAATTCATTGAGCTCTTGCGGATCACCTATTGGAGAAATGGTTACATAAAGATATAAGAACCACTACAGGGCATTCCTTTTACATTACGAAAGAGAGATTCCGCAACAAGTTCGCTTTGTTCTTACAAAGATACGAAATAGTCATATTGAGTCAGGCATCAATGAATACTATATACGTTTTTTTTGCTACTTTTTGAACAGGCAGATTACCATAAAAAATAGAAAACTTTTTAATCGCTTGTAATTTTTGTGAAAATTCACCGACCTTGTTTGTTTTTTTTCGAGCCTTCGAAAGAATTTTTTTTTGTTAAGGAACTCCTTTCCGTTAAGTTTTAAATTATGATCACGGAGCCAAAGTTCATATTTACTTGTTGTTTCTGGCATTATTACTTACCTTGTTTATGGAGAGGGGGACGAACCCCCCCTTTGCATTCTTAATCGGACTTGCTTGGTAATGCATAATTATCGGGGTCTTTGTAATATCGTTCTAGTTTCAAACACAACACGATTATAGAGCCAAATGGAATAACCTGCTCCTAAAATCATTCCAATGGCTGCTAATGTTGCCACGTTGGGCGCATCTTGAAAAACGCCTACTAAAATAAAAAACTCACCAATAAAGCTACTAGTGCCTGATAGACTAATATTGGCTAAAGTAAAAAACAGAAAAATAGTAGAGAAGATAGGCGTTGTACTGACTAAACCTCCATAATATTTAACAAGTCGGGTTTTTTGTCGATCATATAAAGCACCTACATTTAAAAAAAGGGCTGAAGAAACCAGTCCATGACTTAACATGAGTAAAATACTACCTTCAATTCCTTGTATATTCAATAGAGTGAAACTTTCCCACTGAACAAAACATGTCAGCGGTACTCGAGTCCTCTCCGAACCGTACGAGATAGTCACCTATCATACGACTCTCTATTCTACTTGCTTCGTAGTAGGCATGTCTACCCCACTTTCGTGAAGAACAACCTTACATAATAGAGGTGCGAAGCACAGGCTCGTAAGAGTTTGTGGAGTTCCGGGAATATGCACTTTGCCTACATTGGTTTTGTATCCCGCTTTAAGCGACCCTTTCACCAGCACTAGGAATTTCTCACAGGCAATCTCTTTTTTGATAATTTGCATGATAACGTTGTGATCTATAGAATCAAAACAATTAGTTGTGTCACCTTCGATGACCCACGTTTGGTGTTTTTTTTTTTCCTACATGATATTAATCCATATAGAATTGGACACTAAAGAAAAGGCTCGAGTCGAGTGAAGAGTGATATAGGTAATGAAATTAATAAGAAATTAAATTCATTTATTGAATATAGGGTAGCCTGCTATTCATTCATTCCGCCGATTAGGCGAGGCTACGGTGCCTTTCTTTCTTTTTCTTTTTTTTGAGTCATCTTTAATCAATGACAACTCAAAGACCATAGGCATAGCGTACACTCGTATTTGTGGCAAGAGAGATCATAACATTATAGATATAGATAATGTTACTCGGAATCATTTAATGAACTCCGCTCAGGTATTATATGAATATCTTCATGTAAAACACCATATTGATTTATGACAAGCTAAATTGGATAACTTTTCTTTACAAAAAATACATCTTATGTATATGTTTAACTTTGTGGGTGTTTTCCCACACAGGAAATTCACTGAGGTATTAGCTGCTATTTCTACCCATCCAACTGAGATCTTTAAATTAATAAAATTTACTCCTGCTTTCTCAATTCCGCTTGACAATGGTGGATTCAAGACAAGATCCTTAACTCCTTCGGTTCTAAATGGGGGTTGCAGGTGTTGTCCCTCCCGTTCCGGCGGCGAGAGAAGAGGCTGCAGTTTCGGCGATGGCTAGAGAGGAGGGTCGTGGACAGAACACAAACCAACGGGATGGAGGCGAGGCCGCTTCAGGCCGGGCACGCAGGGGAGTCATGACGAAAGAGCTTATCGACCGTGCTCTGCTTTGGGTGGATCACAAAGCTTTCTGGTTGACGGGTGAAGGACGCAGACTTTACAACATCGTCCACGAAACCAAAGAGTACTTCGTCGCCATCGCCAGCGGGCTTCCGCCACTTGACCTTCCACGGAGCGTTGTCGTCCCCAAATCCAGCACGACGGTGGCGAGGATCGCAGACCAATCACAGCTCCAGCAAACGATCTCCCGTGCGGCGGCGGTGGAGAATATAGCTCTGCGCATCTTGCACGGCTGGGTTTTCAAGTCCGGGAACCACCCAAGGGGGTACCACCTTGCTTTACAGTACTCGTTGGAGTCCGTAGCGACGGACATTGCGCAAGGTGGTACGGCGAGGAGTGGTGCAACGTCGTCAGCGCGGCGATCTGCGCCCACACGATAGATCTGAACATGGACCTTCCACTGTGGTACGCCGACGCGAATATCGAGGACAGACCTGAGGACGACGACATGGCTGCGCACCAGGAGTCCACCGTCATCAGCATTACGCATTCATTCCGCGCGGCGGTGCAAATGAGCGCTCACATCGATGACAATTTCATCTCCTACGACCGTCTATGTTGGGTGGCTGACTGGTTCAGGCTGTTGCTGGCGGCGTCCATGTGGATTGTGCGCATGGCGGGAGACGATCTGCGCAGTTATTACGAAGCATTTTACTTCGTGAATCTCGTTGCCAGACCGACACTAGTCGCCTCCATGCACCGCTCCTTCGATCATCGACGATCCGTCGTCCGCGCTGCGAACGTCGTCAAGGAGAGGCTTGGGAAGGCGAAAGCCACGCTCGGAGTGTACCCCGACTACATCCCTGATTGGGCACCATGCGGCATCGGATTTGCTCACGATGCGAGCATCAAGGGGCCAGAGGATGCGAAGAGGCTGGATTGGTTGGGTTCGGGCCCCCCCGATGATGACATCAAAGGCGAAGGAAAAAACGACGCATAAGGCGGGCCGTTTTGCGGGGGAAGAGCGGGGAGACTGCGCTTCTAACAATGAAGGCGCATGTACGCGTGGCGAGACGTGACGGGCTGTCGTGTGATTGGACTGTCGTGCGTGACGCACCTGTTAAGCGTGTCGGCCACCGGGATTCGCCGGAATCCTCCTTCATCATTGTGCACAGGTTTACTGTGGCGCCTGTGGCATAAGCACGGGTTGATCGAGTTCGATTATGTAATTGTAGTTTCGATGGTTAGCGTGTTGGCCGGAGGGATTCGCCTGAATCTTCGACGGTTGC